ACACAGAACAGGGTGCTGCAGGTGACGCAAAGAACAATTCCAACTATTTTTAAAATGAAATTCCTGATCAGGCAAACATTGATCCACAGGTAACACAGGCCAAAGAGGAAGGCCAGACCCACACCGACGTAATGGACTGATTTAACAGATGATACCTGAAGAAAAAGACAAAGAAAAAGTAAGATTTTGGTTTATAAACTAGGAACAACAGAGGTCTGAGTCAGAAGTTACCTGGAAGTTTCCAGTGATGGATAATCCCAGAGAAGAGAGGATTCCTACAACCAAGCTGAAGAGGTGGAGCCATTGTTTGTTTTCGTAACAAAGCTGATTTTTGAAACGCAACACCTCAAAAATCAAAGCTGAAAGAAAAAAAAGATGTTACTGATTCGATACTAATCAGATTCGTAACTGTCACATTGACATTTTATAATTACCCAGATATTTACACATATTTACCCAGAATGCTGCAAAAGTTGCAGACCAGAGCAAACCAGTAGCTAGCAGGAGGCTTATCTCCACAATCACTGACAGGAGAATTAAAAACAGAATAATTATTGGTCACTAGTTTGTRGAGGAGCAGTTCAGGTTCTGTAGATGACACATTTACCTTTGAAATAAAACCTTGTACTCACCTGATGTATGGGAATGGTTCTGTAGCGTTGTGTGAGTTGTACATTTGAGCTATTCCATATCTGGTGAATAAAAACATCTCAACTAAAAGTTCACACCTTTCATTCATACGGTCAGAAAATAAAACACTTTTTATAACATTTGTTTTCACAAATTTACATTAAATCCTTTCATGGGCTTGACTTCCTGCACAGACCTGCTCTATCCTTATGTTTTAATTTAAAAAATACTAAATTTCATCTTCATCGAGTCCTCCACACACTCTGAGAAGGTTTTTAGAAGAAAAACAAAGTTTTATTAAGTAAAGGTACTCACRTGAACCAAATACCYRCAATGCCAATCACAGAATTCAGAATGGGAATTATGAACAACAGACCCATGTTGCACCTGCAAACAGATCAAAAACACAAAGTTTAAAGATGATGAGTAAAATATAAAAAGATGATGTTCTATTTCAGAAAAACAGAGTTGTGCTCACTTTAAAGTAGAGCTCATTTTGATTTGGTGCTCTTTGAGGTAACAAAAGTACTTCCTGGTAATTTCTTTCGCCAAAAATTGGGATTATTGTTTTTTACAATTTCTTATAAAACTGGAGCTGAGTTAGGTGAGGCAGTATAGGTACAAATATACCCCACAGTCCACAAAGACCAACAACCCTTAGAAATCAACAACCATCAGAAACCAGCAACTATCAGAAACCAACAACCATCAGAAACCAACAACCATCAGAAACCAACAACTATCCGAAACCAACAACCATCAGAAACCAACAACCATCAGAAACCAACAACCGTCCGAAACCAACAACTGTCCGAAACCAACAACTATCCAAAACCAACAACTGTCCGAAACCAACAACTGTCCGAAACCAACAACTATCAGAAACCAACAACCATCTGAAACCAACAACCATCTGAAACCAACAACTATCTGAAACCAACAACTATCAGAAACCAACAACCTTCAGAAACCAACAATCATCTGAAACCAACAACCGGAAACCAACAACCATCTGAAACCAACAACTATAAGAAACCAACAACCATCGATAATCAACAACCAGAAACCAACAACCTTCAGAAACGAACAACCTTCAGAAACGAACAACCATCAGAAATCAACAACCATCAGAATCCCACAGAAACCAACAACTATCAGAAATCAACAACCATCAGAAATCAACAGCCATCAGATGCCAAGAACCAGAAACCAACAACCATTGGAAATCAACAATCAGAAACCAACAACCATCAGAAACCAACAACCATCAGAAACCCACAGAAAACAACAACCATCTGAAACCAACAACCATCAGAAATCAAATATCAAAAATCAACAATCATCAGAAACCTACAACTATCAGAAACCCACAGAAACCAACAACTATTTTTGGTAAAGTAAATTCAGATGACATTGGCCCTTTATCTTCATACAGCCACTCTACTGTCAGGAATCTGGGTTTTCTCTTTGATGGTGCCTTTAAATTGGACAAACAGATTAATTCTGTTGCAAAATCAAGTTTTTTCCAATTAAGATTGATTGCTAGGGTGAAATCATATCTCCCCACCAAAGACCTTGAAAAGGTGATTCATGGTTTTATTACCACTCGCTTGGATTATTGTAATTCTTTGTATGCTGGCTTAGATAAATCATCTCTGCATGGTCTACAGACTGTCCAGAACACAGCAGCTCGTCTTTTAACAGGAACTAAAAAGCATGAACACATAACACCGGTCCTGGCTTCTCTCCATTGGCTTCCTGTTCACCTGAGAATTGATTTTAAGATTTTATTGATGGCTTTTAAAGTTTTTAATGGTCTGGCCCCATCATATTTATGTGATCTTCTTAACATCTACACTTCAGTTAGAGCACTCAGGTCTACCAACCAGTTTCTGTTCAATGTTCCTAGATCCAAACTGAAATCTAGAGGTGACCGGGTTTTTGCAATAGCTGCTCCAAAGCTSTGGAACAGYCTACCAGTTGGTCAGCAGAGACTGTTGAGGCCTTTAAATCTTTGCTGAAGACCCATTTCTTTTCTTTGGCCTTTGACTAAGACTGAGTTGGAGGTTCAGTTAGAACTTTTTATATATTATAGTGTGTTTCTGTATTTGTATCTCTTACTTGTTTGTCTTTTGATACAAGTCTTGACTGAACTGTAAAGCACTTTTGTCAGCTTTTGTTGTTTTAGTGTGCTATGTAAATAAATTTGACATTGACATTCACTATCAGAAACACACAGAAACCTACTATCAGAAACCAACAACCATCAAAAACCAACAATTATCAGAAACCAACAAAAATAAAAACCCATCTCACAATGAACTAATATTGTACAGTATAAAAATATTTTATTTTTATTTTAGATCTTACCTTTAAAATCAACGTCTTTGTTTTCTTTTTAAAATTCAGAGAACGACGAGACTTTTTTTCATTAAAATATTTTAAAAAGTGATCAAATCAAGATTCCGTTAACAAAAATACACCCAGCAGTTTGGTAAGAAATCTGTGTTGGGGTACCAATACCATGAGGCAGTATTTATACCATGAACCTACGTCACATATTTTAGTTTCAGGCTGGTCCACTTAGACAGCTGTCATTAATACTAAACCCAAATATGGTTTTGAGTTTAGACACAATTCTATAGAATTCCATTGATTTCACAATAACAAATGTTGCCCATTGACAGACTGCAGGATCAGCCACAACTCATTTTCACTTATGCTTTTATGGAACTACATCTTGTAAAATGCAAGCTAATTCATTTTGGTCTGTTTACTAAAAATTTTAAAAAGTCAGCATTTGTGGCAAATTATTCCTCAGTCAGCAAATTCATGTTGAACCGAAAAACCTGACTGGTTCAGATTTGTTCTCCACAAAAACTGCAAGTTAAGACATGTTTGGCAACATATGTAAAAAAAACATTTTATCATCTGATAACAGAAAAGTAGCAAAACTCCAGCYAATACCTAAAAGTAGCAAGTCTAGTAGCTAAATATCAATGAATGCTAAATTGAGTACACACATAAACACATAAAGAACCTGGTTTCTACATGCTACTTTCAGCTTCGGAACATCTCAAAACTCAAGCCCTGCTGTCCACTTCAGACTTGGAAATGGTAATTCATGCTTTCATTTCTATCCACTTAGATTACTGTAACAGCTTGTTCACCTGTCTGAACCAGAAACAGTTAACTCGCCTTCAGCTTGTCCAAAACTCAGCAGCAAGACTTCTAACT